GGGGGTGAAGAGAAAGGAGAAAGCAAAGGGGGATGGGCCAAAAAAATAATTACGAAGTGGTCCGTCGGCCTAGTAGCATACAACACGATTTTCTATTAGACGTCATTATGATGGTCAAAGCGAGAGGTTTGACTAACCAAACACGACTAACGGTTTGGCATCTTCATAACCTAACACGAGACACAACAACAAACAATTAGTGTGTCTGACAAAGAGAACGGACACATTTATCGGTTAGTCAGCTCGAGAAGATGCGCCGACACCTGTCAACAATGCGTGACTAAGTGCATCGACCTGTTTAGTCATGTAAATTGTTTGTGGAATGTCGCGACACATATTCTAACTAGGTTTTGTGAGTCCTCCGGTGACTCTATTTTTCATGTAACCTCGAATTGTATCAGGAAGGCACTTTATCTTAATTATACTTGATCAATAAAGTGTGATATTCCTCAAACAAGAAAAAAACCTGTTGTTGGATGGTTAAATGGACAATGATATCATAGCCCATCAGAGTTCGAGTCTTGATGCTCGCATTTATTGAGGATTTATTTTAGAATTTTCGGCGTTACACGTTCAGTGGGAGGAGACGTTTCCGTTAACTACGAGGCACCTATAGTGACTTTGTAAAATCTTAAAATGATATGCCGACTTATTCTGTCGGAGATACTCATAGGGATAGAATATGCGTGTACGCGTTTATAGGGATGAGTGTATGTGCGTATATATGAGCGCTTGTGTCTATACTGATGTTAAAGAAAAAACAATGCGTGACTACGGGTGAGTAGGTGCACACGGCCATCGAATTAACGTGACACGAGAAAATGTACGATCTTCCGGCCAAAAGCCGTGTTGCTCACTTGCACGGACGTTTTACACCGGCACAACACAACGCAGCATATACCGTTTGTCGTATCGGAATTCAAGCCGGAATTTATTTAGTTGTGTCGGAATTCAGAATTACAGGGTGGAGAAACCGGGCACCGTTCAAGTAGTATGTAAATAGCCACTTCAAATGCTCCACGTGTTGTGATATAAATTTTCTGGGTCCGTGCATGGTGGCACGTTGTGGCCGTTTCGCCGTCGACCCGCGTGGCATGGCATGTCGGCACAGCCAGCCAGCAGCCCAGCAGCACCACAACTTGTGTAATAAAGTCTCCTTCCGTCCTTCCTTCCTTCCCCGACAGAGCAACGCGGCCCCAATCCAAACTCCCCGGACCAGCAGAGCAAGAGAGAGGGAGAGAGAGAGAGAGAGAGATCTCCATCCCCGATGGCGTCCCGAAGCTGCACCTTCGTCGAGATCCTGCTCGCCGTCATCCTGCCGCCGCTCGGCGTCTTCCTCCGCTACGGCTGCTGCAGCGTAAGCAATCCATCCCCTTCCTCTCCTCTCCCCCGCGAGGCGATCCTGCTGGGCTGGATGGATGGATCCATGCTGGATCCTGATATATAGCATACTAACAACAGTGTTGATTGGTCTTTCTTTCTGTCTGTCTTGAACAGATGGAGTTCTTGATCTGTCTGCTGCTCACCATCCTGGGCTACATCCCCGGCATCATCTACGCCATCTACGTGCTCGTCGCGCATGGCTCGGCCTCGGAGGAGAGCGGCAAGGACTACGACGCCCTTGCTTGATGTCCTGTAGCAACTCATGCCGTGCGAATCAACATCGTGTGTGTGTGTGTGTGTGTGTGTGTGTGTTTCCATCTGCACTGTGTGGCGTGCCTTCCTGTGATTCTCATACAACCGAATAAATTTCAGCTCTGAAGATTTTTTCCACTGGTTTACGCCAGTCGGTGAGCAGGTTTGTGTAACAAACAGGAGTTACGATCCCAGGATTCCCCACCACTCGATTTTGTGTGCTCTATGCTTCGTTGCTGGTAACCACCCCTCGTCAAATGTGTCTCTCTTTTGATGATGCAAATGCCTTGTTTCCAAACCCTTTTACTCCTATACACTCCCTCCATTCCAAAATATAGTGCGTCCGCGTTTTCCGATGTTCAACTTTGACCATAAATTTAATCAATGAGACCAACTGCGGTGGAAAAAAAATTATATAATTGAAAACTTCTTTCGAATACGAATTCACTGATATAATTTTTGCTCCCGCCACAATCGGTCTTGGTAGTTAAATTTACGGTCAAAGTTGAAGTACGTGGATAGAGAAAGCACTACATTACATTGTGGAATGGAGAGACGTTTAGACAATTCGGACAAAGGACAAAACAGTTCAGTGTCGACTGTCCAAAATGTCTTTATCAAAAAGGAGGGAGTGATGTATGTCACGTCCTCCTGATGTAGAGGTAGGGAAGGATCAAACTGTCTTTTTAAGTAGGATAGGAGAGAAGTTTTAGAACCATCATCACGGTCCTTTTTAATCTTTGGTAGGCAGAGTTTTGTCAGAAGAAGCATGGTGAAAGTAACCAAGTACTAAGTAATAAGCGCACCAAACGCGGCAGCACATGCTGTCAAATGTCCAAAACAAGCCGCCGAGACGTGCTTTTGTTTCGGCATGGGTATGCTGTGGACGTGCTGACAGCCCGAAAGGAGAACTTGCTGTCTCGCCTTCACCTGGGCTGGAGAGAAGCAGAGGTTTGCTTGCTTCTCATCTCGTCTCATCTCATCTCATGTGATGGGCTGGATGGGGCATCCATGCAGGTGCGGCTCGTCGCCGGCTACTTTACTAGAGCAGGAGCAGCAGTTGGAGATGGCGGGACGGCTCGGCGCCGGCCCTGATGGAGGAGCTGCAAGGATGCTGCTTTACTGGCGGTCTTACATTTTGAGGCGGAGCGAGCAGTATGTATGTATGTATGTATGTATGTATGTATGCTCGGCGGCACTGATTGACGCACTTTGGTTGGATGCCGCTCTCGCTATTTAGATGCCACGACATCTAAAGAGCCTTGCCACCGACCGATACTTCCGATAATAGTCAACAATGGATTATATGCATGCTACCAAATCAATCCTCATTCCCTCCGTCATTCTACGCAACAGCCTCTGCTCATATGGATGGGTAAAGAGGTAATGGCATAGGTGGTGCTCCAACTTTCACTTCAGTGCCTAAACATGAAAAAATACATTGAACTGGTCCTAAAACTTGGCGCGATCATGCAAATACGGTGCTAATGCCATTCATAGACGTAAAGGGTACTAATGTGGCACAACATTTGATCGGCGCGGCATAGTATCCACTTGTAGTAACGAAACAGGATTTTAGTTGAATACCATGTCCCTATGACTGGTGGGCCCCGTCTGTCAATAGACGAGAAAACCGAAATAAAAAAATGCCTTGAAGCGTGTGGGCGTGCTGTGCTAGCCACTCCATTGGATAGCTTCAGTTTCCAAATTTGGCCCGTCGGCCTTTTCTCTTTTTGAGGGGTCTCAGATTTAATACTTGTGCTACTTAAATTGGCCTTCAACCAGTGAGGCCCATTTAGCACATGTTATTTTTTTAAAAAATATCTTTGAATAATAATCACAGTAATACACATGCTACCACTCTGCATTTTGCACATGTTAACGTCTGTAGATTATAATCATAATAATAATCTTAGATTCAAATATATATGTGTATTAATAGTTACCTCATAATATACAAATATTCGTGTGCATATATTATTTATAAAAAAACTATAAATGTACATAAATACTCCCTCCGTTCGGAATTACTTGTCGCAGAAATGAATGTATCTAGATGTATTTTAGTTCTACATACATTCATTTTCGAGACAAGTAATTCCGAACGGAGGGAGTAATAACCTTGTGGCACACAAATATTCATGTGCATATATTATTTATAATTTTTTTTATAAATGGTACATAAATAATAACCTCACGGTACACAAATATTCATGTGCACACACAAAAAGAATATATGCAATAAAATAACTTACTAGAAATGTTCCAGTAAGTTTAAGAAATAAGAAATATTAACATATTATTTTTAAAATACTATTTTCAATATAGTGAATGAATATTTTCGTACATGCCTGGCTCATATTTAATTTGAAGAAATTTACGGGTAACATCATTTACTAAATACTTATGAATATTCACTGGCGTATAATTTCACTTATGGCTTATATTCTTAATTTTTATATAATGTAAATATAATCCATGAGTGAATATTCATACATACATTCTAAATTTTAAATTATGAATAATTTTTACTTATAGAAACATTTTCTTAAACGACATACTTATGAATTATACAAATATGCATTTAATTACTCAAATATTTGAATAATTAAAATAATTTACAAACTGTAATTTTAAAATATTTGAATTATTTTATATTAAATTATACAAACGATAATTCGTATCTATTATTTCAGTTATATTAATGTCTTTTAAAGTAATACATGAATATTCTAAAAGTTATATGAACATTGTTTTAAGTTAGTTATTTTAGTTATATGTATAATATTTATAACTATTAATACATGAATAATTGAACTTTATTTGCATTACTGTATTTATAATTTACAGATTTTTTACATTTTTTAAAATTAACATGTGCTAAATGGGCAGCACTAACTGCAAGCAATTTAAGTAGCACGAGCTTTTTATATTTCATAGTACATCAAGCCTATGGGGCCGAACTTTGCATATCTCTATTTCTAATGTCTCAGTTGGTAGTCTCCGCGGTTAATTTTCATCCCACCTCCTCTGGTTTTTTTCGTCCTCCCTCCCACCTCCCAATTACCCCGCAGTAACCATCCCACCTCCCAGCTTTGTCGGTTTTTTATTCGCCCCCTCCCACTGGCCGGACAAACCCAACGTTTATTTGGTAACACAATGAATTCACATATGGTGATTGATTTCTTCTTTGGTAACCCAACTAACGGATGGTAATCAATCTTCAAATACCAAAACCAAACATACAAGGCAACAATCAATTCACGTATCATAATCAGAGTCTTCTTTAATACCCAGCTTAACTCACGGATGGTAATCAATCTCCAAACAAAGGAAACAATTAACCTCTACATCTCGTACTTACGAATGATAATCAATCTCCAAACAAAGGAAACAATTAATCCAGCTTAGCTCACGGATGGATATGTGTGTGTGTGTGTTAGAGAGAGAGAGAGAGAGAGGAGAGGGGGAGAGGGAGGAAGAGGGAGGAAGAGTGTGTGTGAGGATTTGATGGTAAAAAGGTCGCCAATGTCACTTGATATGTATAAGAATATTAAATGTAATATTAACATAATTAATATATAACTCTTAAAGTTAATGTGGCCCCGTTGCAACGCACGGGCGTTCTTCTAGTAAAGGTATATGGTAGAGTGGCTAGCACAGCTCGCCCACATTCTTCAATTTGCTTGTTCAAACCCTGTTCATTAGCATTTTTATTTTAGGTTTCTTGTGTACTGACAGACGAGGCCCACTTTTTATAGAGACATAATATTCAACTAAAATCATGTTTCGTCACTAAAAGTGGACTCGATGCCACCTCAGCATAATACAGTGCTACGGTCAGCACCCTTCATGTCTATGAATGACATTAGCACCGTATTTGCACGTTCATGCCAAGTATTAGAACCAATTTGAAGTATTTTTCAAGTTTAGGCACTGGAGTGAACATCAGTGGCAAGTTCGAGCACCATTGGTGTTATTACCTCATGGGTAAATAAAATTTGATGCATGTCGCCCGCTTGTCTTCAGTAAGAAAGACATGTGTTTGGTACTTCTATAACTTTTTGTTCTTCACAGTAACCAAACTGTATGCTGATGTAGTCATAATTCACCCATTACCTTAAATTTCAGAATTGTAAACAACCATTTTTCATGGATTATGTAAGAATTCCCCTTTGATGGGTTTAATCGGCAACATCTGGCAAATGGTTTCGCAAGCCAGATAAGCTTCATGAAATTAGTGTTTTTATCTATTACAATATTTCCCCCATTTGTACCAATTGGGAATTGGAGATGGTCTCAACGTACAAATATGAGACATGAGAAGGCATGCTCGGGACAGATGTCGGTGATACAACAATACATCTATTCAGTCTTGCGTATAGTAAGAGACCATTCTCTTGCTAAAAAAATTATATGCTCTGACCTTCCGCTCAGCACTTCTCATGTCTTTCAGTGTGTTTGACACTTCTATATTTTTTCGTTTTTTTTTCAGAGCAACCAAATTGTATGTTGATGCATTCATAATTCATCCATTACCTTAAATTTCGGAATTGTAAACAACCATTTTTCATGGATTATGTAAGCATTCCCTCTTGATGGGTTTAATCTGCAACATCTGGCAAATGGTTCTGCAAGCCAGATAAGCTTCATGAAATCAGTGTTTTTTATTCTTTCTATTACAATATCCCCCCTTTGCACCAATTCAAAATTGGAGATAGTCTCAACGGAGAGAGACGAGACATGAGAAGGCATGCTCGTGACAAGTGGCGGTACTGAGGGGAAGGTCAAAGCATATCTTTCGTTCTTCTGAGATAGAACATACAACAATACATGTATTCAGTCCTGCTTATACTTAGATACTATTCTCTTGCTCAAAAAGTATATTAAAGAGTATAGAATCTGTAACATTTTTGTTGGGGAATGTAGCAATAATTAAAAAAAAATCCTACGTGTCACCAAGATCAATCTAGGACATGCTAGCAACGAGAGAG